TTTCTTTTTTTAAAAATTTTTTAAAAATAATTTTAATGAGCATTTACAGAGATTTTGGATTTCCATTCATTCATTGCTGCACTTCTCTCCCCACTCACCAATATAAAAATTTTTAAAAAGACTTTTTTATTATTATTTGAGTGAATGCTTACAAAGCATATTGGTTTTTCATTATATCATCAACACATTTCCCCCTCATTCATTCATTATTACATTTTTCTCCCTCCCCCCTCTCCCCCCAATTCTCTCTTCTCTTTGAAAAGTAAAAGAAAAATTCTTTCATTGTTATATAATCCCTGCCCCCAAGTCCACTCCACGCTCAGCCTTTGTTCTGGACTCCTGTCATGACAATAATACCTAATCATATATCACTTTTAAACAGTTCTCTCCTTCATCTGTTTCAATGCAATATACATTATGTGTCCCCTCTTTCTCAGTCTCCCCTGAACTCCAATGTTAGTCCTGTTTTACAGCAGTGGCACTATGCAGTATTTGTCCTTTTGTGACTGAGATATTTCACTCATCATGTCCTCCAGGGACATCCATTTTGAATAATATTGCATGAAGTTTTTCTTTTCTTGATATTGGCTGCAGTGTTTAAACATTTGCAGCAAGTGCTTGAAGTCCTTCTCATTTTCAGCAAGCAAGGTTGTGCCATCTGCATAACAAAGACTATTAGTGAGTCTTCCTCCAAAGCTGCCTTTTTCTTCATAGAGATCAGCTTCAAGGATAATTTTCAGCTTTTAATTTCATCTTTTAACAGAGCTCCCCTTTTTCTTGGCTCAAGGTGCAGTGTGTATCCTGACTGAGAGCTCTTCAAGGCCCTGTGTAAGCTGGCCTCAAAATGCAAATGAACAGAGCTAACAGACCAGAGTAAACTAGCAGTGTAATGTGCAAGAAACAGCCTCAGATTAGGAGTCAAGGAACCTGGCTTCTGATTCAAGTCAAGAAAACCATGCTTTTCACAGCTAGACAACTTCAGGCTGCATGTGGGTGCAGCTCTCAGAGGACCCCCACTGTCCGGGCAGGTCAGGGCCTCGGCCAAGCAGCTTTCTTCTGTGGATAGAGCTGTGATTGGACTCGCCCAGCCGGGGATCTCCCCGTGCCCCTATTCTGTACCCCTAACCTTTTTCTTCAAGCTCCTCTTTGTTTTCTACCTGAGCCTTCAGTTTTCTTCAGAACCAGTGGGTCTTAGATGCCGGTGGGCTGGGGAAGACGCAGTGACATCTCATGGGAAGCACTTTCCAAACACTCAGGCCTGGCCCGGCCGCAGTCCTGGCAGGAAGACCCTCATGGTGGTTACTGCTTTTCACACTCCTTCATCTCTTAGGTCAGCTGTGAGGTGACTCTTCTCAAATAGAATTCCAGTTTCTTGGCTTGGTTCCTTGCCCATGGGCTTCTGGTAGCTAAATTCCCTGATGCAGCCCAGTTGTATAAAGACATCCACATTTATTTATTGACACTTTTTCTCCCTTTGGTCCTCTGTGTCCACATCGCCATCCTCTCCAGGGCTGTCTCCTGCCCCTGCAGCCTTTCTGGAGAAGCCAGGACGCTGACCAGCTCGGCAGAAGCCCTCCTTTGCTGTGCTCTGGCTGCCCCCCTCCTCTCCCCATCCCCTGTCAAATCTACCAGCTGCAGAACAGAGCAGCTCCTCGCCTGCTCCGGGAAGCTGGGAAATGCAGCCTTGAATAGCTCGCCTTCTAAGTAGCAGGCTCCAGTAAAGGTGATAAATGTGTTTCCTTATATAGATGGCTGGGTCGACTCTTCTTTTCCTGGCAGAGGGGAGGTGGAGAAAGGAGAAGGGCAGAGGATGAGGCTGCTGGGATGGGCTGGGGAAGTAGACATCTTTTTTTTTTAATTAATTTTCATGAACATTTACAGAGATTTTGCATTTCCATTCATTCATTATTACACTTTCCTCTCTGCCCAGCTCTCCCCCCCAGTTCGCTCCTCTCTTTGAAAAGTAAAATTCTTTTATTGGTATACAATCCTCCCCTTTCCCCCACCACCCTGAGTACACTCCACTATGCAACCTTAATTCTGGACTTTTGTCATAACCGTAATACCCTATCATACTCGCTACTCGCTTTTAAACTGTTCTCTCCCTCATCTGTTTCAATGCAGTATATAATTTATCCAGTTTTTCTCAGTCTCACACCAACCCTGATGTCAGTCCCATGCTACAACAGTGGCACCATGCAGTATTTGTCCTTTTGTGACTGAGATACTTCACTCAGCATAATGTCCTCCAGTGTCACCCATTTTTTTTTCTTTTTTGTGTTACCCATTTTTATTAGAGAAGAAGGAGGTACCACTTGGGCCTCTGGGGAGTTGACCAGGATTCAGTTACCTCAATGTGCTGAGTTTGTGGAGAAGAGACAAGGGTTCGGTAACCTCATCTTGATAACCTGAGCCTCATGGGAGGGGATCGGGGCTCAGTAACTTCACCTTAACAATCTGGGCCTCTGGGGAGGGGGTCGGGGCTCAGGAACCTCAGATTAACTGCCTTGGCCACTAAGGAGGGGGCCAAGGCTTAGTATCCTCAGCTTAGCACATTGAGCCTCTGGGAAGGGGACTCGGGCTCAGTAAGCTTGATTGAACAGTCTGGAACTCCGGGGAGGGGAACAGAACTCAGAACCTCAGTGTAACAGCTTTGACATTTCTGGAGCGGGTACATGTGTTCAGTAACCTCAGTTTTACAGGCTGGACTGGCTCTGAGAAAAGTCGACTCTTGAAATAAAGCAATTCCAGGCATTTGCATCAATTTAGAAACACCTCTTTCCTTGGGTTATTTGGGCTACAGTTTTGGGGCGTACCCCAGAGCAGCAAGCAGCTCCCAGGATGGTCAGGGGCAGCTGCCTTTTTTTGGTGGTGGGTTTTGTGGGTTTTACCCATGAGATCTCTCTTCTATCCTTGGCCCAGCCCAGCTCAGGGAGCAGAGCCCAGGGCTTCCATTTGGTAACAGCTGTATTACGATCTAACGCACATGCCATGTAGTCCCCTCACCTACAGTGTATGCTTCCTTGACTTTCATATATGCTCAGAGTTGCACAGCTATCCCTGTAGGCAATCTTACGACCCTTTCATCATTCCAAAAAGCAGCCCTGTCACCTCTGAGTCTACTTTATCCTTGTGGCTTTGCCTCTTCAAGCATCAGTGGAATACGGTGTGTGGGCTTCTTTGACTGGCGTCTCATACTTAACATGACATTTTCAAGGTGCATCAATGTTGTGGCCCATGGCAGCCCTTCATTTATTGTTGTTGTTATGTGCCATCGAGTCACCTGCGACTCATAGTGACACTACGTACAAAACCCTAAACCCTAAGCCCTAAACCCTGCTGTATCCTGTGCCAATGTCATTGTCTCTGACACACCTACCCCCATTGCCTTCCTTAGTCACTGAATCAATCCATCTCACTGAGGGTCTTCCTCTCCTGCGCTGTCCCTCCACCCTCCGAAGCATGACATCCTGCTTTCCAAGGACTAGTCCCGCCTTGCAAAGTATGTCAGGCGAAGTTTCAGAATCCTTGCCTCCAAGGAGCAGCCTGGTTTCATCCTCTCTAGGACAAACCTGTTCGTTCTCTTAGCAGTCCGTGGTATATATTCATTACTCTTCTCCAACACCACAGCTCAAAGGCATCAGTTCTCCTTTTATCATCCCTAGTCATTGTCCAGCTCTCTGATGCATAGCAAGCAATTTTAAAGACCACGGTCTGTATCAGGTGCACTTTAGTCTCCAGACTGACATTGTTGCTCTTCAGTACTTTAGAGTACTTAATTTATTGCTGTGGCTAATATCCCAGGATCCGATATGGCTAATATTGTAGACCACATTTTCCTTAGCTACTCACCTATTGCTGGGCTAATGACTTACTTGTTGGGTTTTTCTCCCTGGTTTTTTGTTGTGGCTTTTTTTTTTTTGCCTTCACCAGGAATGCTACTGGGAACATTCATACGTAAGGTTATGGGTGGGAGGCCTGGGGTCATATAGCCACAGATGGCTGTGTCTGGCGTGAGAATCACACATAATAGTGTAGGAAAATGGTCTCCTCTCTCCTTTTGTTTCTAGTCAGAATTCCTACAAGAATCCAATGTGATCATGGCCAAGTTGAACTATGTGGAAGGAGATTATAAAGAAGCACTCAACATCTATGCCCGGGTGGGCCTGGATGACCTGCCGCTGCTGGCCGCTCCGCCCTACAGGTTACGAATGATTGCTGAGGCCTACGCTACCAAAGGTGAGGCCCTGCTTCCTCCCTCCCCACCACCTGCCCCAGGAGGACGTTCCCCTAGGGGTACCTCCCTGGTGCCTTCCAGCAGACTCATGCCTGTGGCTGGGGATTGGTTCTGGAACCTTCCAGCAAGCCTTCCAGGGCTTGCTCCGTGGTGCACACTGAGTCATTTCTGTCCTGCCACACCTTGTTCCTCAGAGCCCCAGGCCTTCAGTTGTCACTGGAGGATGTGAGGACAAACCTTTCTGTGATTTCCTGATCATTAGTACTCAGCCGAAGCTGGGATTTTTTTTGTTGTTGTTGTTTTGTTTGTTTTTTACAAAATACTACAGTATGATATGGATTGGGTGCTGTTGAGTCCCTTCCAACACATAGTGACCTGGAACAACAGAAAAGGTCACACTCGCTCCTGTCTGACCTCATAATCACGGCCGAGTGTGGGCCTGTCCTGGCAGCCGCCATCAGGCCTTCTCCTGGAAAGCGTCCTCTTTCTCGCTGACCATCTGTGGTACCGAGCGTCAGGTCCTTCTCCAGGATGCGTCCTCCTGAGAACATGCTCGAAGCGTGTGAGCGAAGCCTCACCATCCTCTCCTCTGAGGAACAGCACTTCTAAAGTTCACGCAGGCTTTTTCTGGCCGTCTTAGGTACAGTCAGGATTCTTTGCCAACCTCTAATTCAAAGGCATTGATCCGTCTCAGACTTCCTTCCTCATTGTCCAGCTTTTGCGTGCATATGAGATCATTGAAAAGATCATGTCCTGCGCCAGTTGTACCTTAGTCATCAAAGTTATGTCTTTACTCATTAGTACCTCATCCTTGCGTGTTTTCAGTCGGCCGTGTGACTAGTGTTCGTGAATACACAACTGGGTTTATTAAGGTGTGTATGTTGATAGATGGAGCGTCACTGAAGCGGGCTGTCACCCGTTGCTGCTTAAGTTCTGCCCCGAGACTTAAGGTTGCAGCAAAGCATAGTGTCATTCCTGTGACCTTGACGGAGCTTGTCCTTTGGTGTGAGAGAATGCAGCCCCACGGAAGGGCAAGCAGGACATACACGTTATTTGATCTTCTCAAGTGGCCTTTCCTCATGTGTGTTATGTTCATGTTATAGAATTTCCCTGAGGACTAAGTAAAATGGTTTATATAGTGTGACACAGTGCCCGACGCATACACATGCATGACCAGTGATATTTCACCCAACCTCGAAAAAGATAGCACATGACAAATGCTGGGGAGACCAGTGATATTTCACAGTGTCAGCCCCGAAAAAGGTATCAGGTGTCAAATGCTGGGGAGGTGTAACTGCTTTTCAGTGGCAGGAGGGGTTCCTGTAGACAGGAGGGGCCCGGTGGGCTTCCTGGAGGAGGAGGCTACTTTGAAGTGGACTTCTGAAAGGCTGTGGCAAGAAGCAGCCCATTAGAAGCAGGCAGTGTCTCACCTTTCTGGCACTTGCTGTCCATCCCATGTACTGTGACTGACTGTGGTGCCACAGAGGCCAGCAGTGAGATGACCACTGTGGACAGCCAGCCCTTTCTGCAGCTTTCCCGGCCTGCCTGCCTCGGTTGTGCTATGCAGTGTAGGCAAAGACACAGCCTGAGACACCCTTGTTAAGCACTTGTGATGGGGCTTATGTGTCCGCCCAGTTCCCTGGGGATTCCTGAGTGCTGCAAGGCTCCTCTAATTAATATTCCAGCGTCCCTGTAGGCTGGGAAAAGAAGGGCCTTTACAGGTACTGGTGGGTCAGAGTATAGTCCCTATACTGTCTCAGGGTCCTCAGGTTGCCTCGCCTGTGCTGGCAGCTGTCTCAGCCTCACTGCCACCTATTCTCTGCAGAAAGAAGAGAGGCTCCTTGTTTCCAGTGGGCACCTTCTTGCCACAGCCTTTCGGAAGTCCACTTCAAAGTGGCCTCCTCCTCCAGAAAGCCTGCCTGGCCGTGCAGTCCACAGTTATCTCTCCTGCTTCTGAAAAGTGACTGTTTCTCCCTAGCATTTGCACGAGCTCACTTAGCCACCTCTTATGCTCTCTGCTGTTGGTGGGAACATATTGTGTGTGTGTGTGTGTGTGTGTGTGTGTGTGTGTGTGTGTGTCTGTGTCTCTGGGTCTATGTGTGTGCGTGTGCAGTAATTCTCTGGAACAGGAGCAAAGCTTCATTTGGCAGTTCTTAGTTACCCAGCTGACCTCTCCAGCCAAGTGGCATCCTGACGGATGGTAGGCGGGAGCTGGTTTGCTGGTTGCCAGGGAGCGGGTGACTCTGGAGATGACTTGGTCTCAGTACTGGCTTAGGGGGTTCAGTGGAGGCCAACTGTCTGCAGGTGGCACTGCCAGCTCAGTCTTGTGGCTGCCACACAAAGGGAACAAGGAGGACAAGGGGCTTGGTTCTTTTTTTTTCTTTTTAAAAAAGTATTCTTTTTTTGTGTGTATACCATCAAATCAGACCTGATTGGTAAAGGAAGAGATTGCCCCTCCTTCTCCAGCAGAGCATCTGGTGGATTTGAACCACGTAACTCTGGGATTGCAGTGCAGCTTCTTGCCACTAGACCACCAGAACTCCCTAGGGGCTTGGTCCTTGATTTGGGATCTGATATGTGGTTTGGCAGTGGACGCTGCAGACTCTTGAGACTCCAGCTGACTCAGAGGCCGGGCCCTGCCTGGTTGGTGACTTCCTTTATGAGTGCTGAAGAGTCACACATGTGATGCCTTTTCCTGGACAGAGTGGCCTGTGGACAGAGGACCCAGGCCCCTGAGAAGCTAATCTCCAGCTGCCGGCTGGCACTGGCTCTGATATCTGCCTGGGGCCAGCTCCTGCCTCTGTCACATGCTGACTCTGCATCCTGTGTGTGTTCCTTGTCGTCTCTGGACCTCTTTTCCCCAATCTGTAAAGTTCTCCCTGAGAAGCATGAGGATCTCATGAGATGAAACAACAGCAACTCATTGCCATCCACTAACAGACTCCACTGTCAGAATCCACTCACAGCTGACCCTCCGGGGAGGTTTCAGAGGCTGGAAATCATGGGGGAGCACTGCCCAGCTCCCTCCTGGGGGACTGCTGGTGAGTTTGCACCGTCTCAGAGTCTCTGTCTTCAGGCTAGCAGTGCAGCTTCCTACAGACTGCAGAGCGTGTAAACGGCACAGCTCGTATAAAAAATGCACACCGTGTGGAAAATGTACACCATGTAGAACGTGTACACCACATGTAAAATGCACACAATGTGGAAAATGCACAGCATGTGGAAAATGTACACCATGTGGAAAATACACACCATGTGGAGAATGTAGACAACGTGTAAAATGCACACCTCGTGGAAAATGGCATACCTCGTATAAAAAATGCACACCACGTGGAAAATGTACACCTCGTGGAAAATGCACACCTCGTGGAAAATGCACACCATGTGGAAAATCTACACACCTTGTGGAAAACGCACTCCGTGTGTAAGATGCACACCACGCGTAAAATGCACACCATGTGGAAAATACACTCTTGTGTAAAATGCACACCTCATGTAAAATTCACAGCTTGCATAAAATGCATACCATGTGTAAAATACACAGCTCTTATAGAATGCATACTATGTGTAAAATGCACCCTTCGTGTAACATTTACACCTTGTATGAAATGCATACCATGTGTAAAATACACATCTCTTCTAAAATGCATACCACGTGTAAAATACACACCACGCGTAAAATGCGTACTTCGTAGAAAATGTAAAACTCATGGAAAATACATACCACATGTAAAATGCACACCTCACATAAAATGCATGCCTTGCATAACGTGCACACCACGTGTAAAATGCACACCATATGTAAAGTGCACACCACATGTAAAATGCACACCTTGTAAAAATGCACATGACATGTAAAATGCACACCAGGTGTTAGACAGTGCCTGGCCCATCTGAGCACGCTGCGGACGTTAGCTGAGAGGTTAGTGTGTAGTGAGGGGTGGGGTGGGGCACTAGAAATGACTTAGGATAAAGGAAGGCAATTGCCAGCCTCATCCTCAGAAATGCCCGCAGAGATGTACGCTCCTAGTCGAGGACCCTTGGCCTGGCTCTTTGTAGAAGGTGGCACGTTTTAGTTAATTTCTCAGCAGAGAGCTCCCATGTGGATCTCAGCTTTGGTTTTCTTTCCTCCTGCCTCTTGTGCCAGACCAGAGAAACAGACTTGGCACAGACAACAAGGGACGTCACACTTGGAGGGGTAGAGGGTCAGCGAAGGAGGGGAACACCCTCAGTGAGATGGCCTGACACAGTGACTGCAGCATTGGGCTCAAGTGTGTCAGAGACGATGAGGACGGCACAGGACGGGACGGGGTTCAGATCTGTTGTTCACAGGGTCACTGTGAGTCACACTCAACTCGATGGCACCTAACAAACCACAGTATTGGCTTAGTCGTGTGTGTTTATCACGTGAGTGGCTTGCTCTGGGTTATAGTCTGAGAGACCAGATGAAATCTCTGGGACAATAAGTGGCCATAGATCTTCTCCCGGAAGGGCAGCTCCGGGCAGGGGAGAGTCGGTTGCTGACACATGGATCTACATGAGGTAACTTCCTGCAGTTAGGACAGTGGGCGAGGGAGCTGGGTGTGGTTACAGGGCGTCAGACTCCTTATAGTCAGGGCCCTGCTATAACAGAGGGGCAAAAACCACACCACACACACACACACACCGCTCACACACCTGTTCTGTCCTGGAACAGGTCGACAGGCCAAGGCTGGTGGGGCAGCTCTACCCCCTGCAGTGTTTGTTCTGCCACCAGCTGCTGGGGTGCAGGCCTCTTTCCTCTGATTGGAACTGGGCCGCTGCTTTGTAATGGAAAAGGGAAAGTGGAACTGGGCTGCTGCTTTGTCGTGGAAAGGGGAAAGAGATGTTTAGAGCGAGCTGGAATAAGACACGTCAATTCTGTGGACGCTCCATCGGTGAGATGATACCCCCAGGGAGTTACCCGTGGAACCTGACCATAACCTCCTAGAGAAACCTCTACTTTCCACAGGGGAGACTGTGC